ATTCTGTGCCTAGAATATTTTTGGGGGGTGCACTAGAAAAGTAACTACAGACAAACAATAGCAGCTATGATATGGCCACATCAAAAGACAGTGAAATAGATAACTATTTTGTAACTCTAAGATTTTATGGAATCTATAATAAATTATTACACCTCACTTTTGGGTTACATGGCAACTTTCCCTTTGATTGGTAAAGGAATGTCTTAATTTGCAAACAAATTATGTTCCAAAAGTCTTTAAGCTTGTTGCTTTAAACTTGGAATGCTTTTCCCACAGAAATATGTTGTAAATGATGATCAAAGTAGCCCCGCCCACATAAGCACATTTCATTCATAATATAACTTAACTATTATATTGAAATATCAGGGCAAAAATGAAGTACCCATAAACTATAAATAAGTTGTGATTTTGAATGAAAAAACCTAGTATGTCATCCTCACGATATTTGGGAAAATGCAGATTTAATTAGAGGTCAAGAGGGTAGGTGAAAATTTTGTTAAAAATGATGAAGTGGGATCCTGGAACTATTCGTACCTTGGTAACTGATGACATTTGCCCTTATTTATAATATTATGTCAACATATATAACAGGTATAGCACTAAGTACCCTTTATGCTTATTAGTCACGGTTAGTGTTGAACTTCAGCTTATAAACAAAGGATGGGAAAGTCTCCCTCACTGGGGGGATAGTGGTGATGGTAATTAAACAAACAACTTAAATCATTCATTTGTAGTCCTTCTCACTGTTGCTTTTCTTTAAATGATCATTTGATAAATGGTAAGTTCTCCACTGGCTCAAAGATGCATGAGAGTAGATATATCCTCAGTTTTTGCTAACAATTATACCCCCAGCACTTAGCAGAGAGCTAAGAACATAGCTGCTCAAAAATAATTTTTGAATGAATGAATGGGTAAATGAATTAATTACTAAAAAAGAAGAGGAGGGGTATTCTAAAAAATGTAGAATAGTGGGTATCTTAAAAATGAGTGTCTGAAAAAAACAACAAAAATAAGGGGTGTCTGAAATTACATTTATTAGTCTCTGTGTAGTCAAAGGGAAGGGAAAGTAGTAGCCAAAGACAGGCATAAAAAGGAGTTTCCCAAAGGATAAAGACAGTTGGTAGGACAATTTATTTGTTGACAACAGAGTAATTAGGTGTATGCAAGTTTAGTTTGGCTTCTGTTTCAAAATAAGAAGGATTGGGACTGATCAGCCTTAGGATAGTTAAGTGGCAAAGAAGGCCATGTGCAAGTACAATTAGTGACATACCAAGGGTAGGCCAATAGGAGGGGTCTGCACACATTAAGGCAAAGGGGTAGGTGGGAGCACTATCTATAGAGAATTTAAAAATAAAAGTCAGTCTGTTTCTTAGTATTATTATAAAACTGCATTTCTAAAAAAAATCAGCGATAAAATATTCCTCTGTAACAAGATCATTTTTGGTCTTCTTAAAAATTCCTGCAGTTACTGTTGAGTTTTAATTACACATATGTAAACTCAAAATTAGCACATTTTAATTACTTATCCTTTAATAAACCTTGTAGTCTAAATGAAAGTTAATTTAGAGAACTTCTAGTGGTACAATGGGTTCCCCAACACGGATGGCCTTAGCTACACATTTGTTTTAAGAGTAATGTCCTCATAGGACATTTTGAAAAATCATTTGTCCATTCCTTGATGTAAGTATTTAGGATTGATGGTAGATGTTTTATTCTGGGATTGCCAGAAATTATAGCGCGATACAAGGATTTACTGAAAATACTTTATTGGGGAGTGTGATCCCAGGAAGCACGTGAGAGACAGACAGAGGGAACCAGGAAAGGATGGAAAGATTGTGTTATCAGGCTGGCCACTGCTTCAGGAGAATGGCTGCATCATTCATCAAGACCATCTGGGAAGCTCCATGTAACATATTTCAGGATCTTCTGCTTGCAGATGGAGACGGGAGCAATTTTCCACAGGTTTCCATCTCCCATTAGTCAAAGATTTCCCATGGGGTATTTATTCTTTCACACTTCTAGGTTTTAGTTCACATTGAAAGTTCAACCAAAAAGCCCTGGGTGGGAAGTGAGATGCAAGAGAGGTCCAGGATGAAGGAAGCACTGTCAGATTTTTACCTACATGAAGCTAGTTGGAGACCACTTAGAACTGGTTTCCCCTGCAGTGGCTAAAGGGGACAGGTGAGGCCTAGAGGATTTTGAAGTCATGTATGGGAGGTGTGATATAGCAAGGGATATGATTTTACAGTTTTTCATTTTTTAGCTTCCTTTCCTATAAGGAATTCAATGTCCCATATATCATATTCATTGGATCTAATAGAAGATTCTCAAGCTTTCATCATCCGTTCATTCTTTGAATATTTATTGAATATTGACTAATATTTATTGAGTGTGCCAGGCCTTATACAAGGTTAGAAATGTAAGTATGATACATAAATTCTCTACTGTCATAAAGTTTACTGTTTTATCCACTCTGTGCCTTCCACGATACTGGCACATAGTAGGCATTTTTCAAAAAAAAAATGCTCTTCTCATACAATCAGAATTATTACACTGATGAATATTAAATGCTATGCAAATCTGAAATGACCAGAGGGGTGTGCCACTAGATAAACCACTCTACCATCCTTGCAGGAAGTCTCTTACCCACAGGCTGTAATGGCTTATGTGTGCCCAGGGAGTTGAAACTGTTTACTTTATTATCTATGCACTGCCTAGGGAGGGGGAGGCTGAAATTTAGACAGATTTCTGTATTTATCTGTAAGGCGCCTCCGAGGCATAAGAGAACATTTGGAGGAGCTGAAATCCAGGAGCAACACCAGCAGCAGCAGAGGCCACCCCTCCATTTACCTGGCAGTGTTCCCAGGCAAAAGGTGGAAGGTGCCCTGCCTCCCTGCCAGCACTCCTTTCTTGAGCATCCCAGTGGCCAAACAACCACCAGCTGACTCTACCCAAAGTGCCTGCCTGGTTACAGGAGCCAACTTGTAACAGCACTTCACAGAAGCACTCAGGTGGGAAATACATTGATTCATTAAAATCTTTGATGCAAAGTTATCTGCATTCTGTCAGTCACCAGCAAAATACCATGCCAGGGACACATTTATATGACAATTAACTTTTAATGTCTTAGAAAGCTGCTGAATAGAAACAAAATCAGAAAAAAAAATTATTCAAATGATAACATTTTGGAGAGCAGGTAAGTTTTCCTAGTCCTGTTGGTTGGTGGTTTCCTTCACTCCAGACCCATCTTCTGGCCTTCCCTGACAATGAAACATCATGCTTATTATCTCCGAATTAGTTGATGTATGGGGAGCTGTCAGTTCCTAAGTATTCACATTAAACTCTCAGGGCGGAGTGACCAGAGCATGCCAGGTGCTTTATGGAGCAGTCAAGGCTGCTGGAGGTTTTCAAGGGGGAACTTTCCACCCGTGGGGAGTGGCAAGGCCTTTGTGTAACTGAGAACAGGTCAGAAGCCCCAGGCTGGAAGCTGGAAGGCCAGAAAGGTAAACTCAAGGGGCTCTTCAGAGTGCTTGCTCTAGTGACTGAGCACAACCCCCCCAGTAGCAACCCCCACATAGCTCTCCAGAGAGAATTTCATAGTTTAAAAAAAGTAAAGATTTCCCCAGAGTGGGGAAGACACTGCAGGCCTAGTTTGCGTCTCCCCCGTGCCAATGGTTGAGTTGGGGAGAAACTGCCTGGGAGAGAGCATCTGAGGCAACGTGCCGGCTTGCAGCTTGCAGGCCTGCTATAGAAACAGCTGTGAGTTTCTGTGTGTGTGTGTGTGTGTGTGTGTGCGCGTGCGCGCGTGTGGGTGGTGGTGCGGTGGGGGTGTGTGTTAAGGTTGCCTCTGCTATGAGGGGAAGAAAGGCAAAAGTGTGAGGACACACAAGGCAGGGGACAGTGTGGGCTCTGCTGCAGCAGCGTGGGATGGGGCTGGAGTGGGGGGAGGCAGTGCGGTCAGGGAGTCCCAGCGCTCCTGTGGTTGGTGCAGAAGTGACTGGAACAGGACTGACATGTTGGAGTTGCAAATCATCAAGCCCCAAATCAATCACCCATGTCTTTCTGAGTACTTCTCCTCCATTTCAACAACAACAAAAATGTTTAAAACGTTTTGGGTGCTGTTGAGTGGAGAAAAGATCGCACCACATTACCTTTTTACTCTAATTCCCTCCTCCACAAGGTAACCGGATGACGCCCCAGGATCTAAAAATGTGTGGGAAAGTAGTAAGAGCCCTAGACTGGGAGACACATTTTTAGTCCTGAGGCACAGCATTTGATGGTTTAATCTTCACGCTGCAAACTAGCCTTGGGACCTTAGATAAACCATTTTAACCTGTGTGTGTGCCTCAGTTTCCTCATCTGCCCTAGAGGAGTAACACGTGCGCGCGCGCGCTCTCTCCACCCAGCTGAGGCGCGGGTCAGACTCCGCGCTGTGTGAGAGCTCGGAAGCCGGCGCCACGCTCTTCCCGCAGCAGGAAAGCACGCTGGTGTTATCCTCGAGCCCCGAGAGAGGGCTGGAGGAAGACTCGCGCTCTAAAATTAGTGCAGCTTCCAGGCCCGGCGCCGGGAGCGCCCTCCAGCTCGCCGCGCCCCCCCCCGCCGCCCCCTCCCGCTCGCCCCTCTCCCCCGCGCCACGCTCCGAGATCGCTAGTCATCCCCGACGCCGAGGCTTCTCTCCCCCTCGCCCCTTTTGCTCGCGGTTTGGTAGGAGGAGACAGCGAGAGGGAAGCGAGAGGGGGAGACGGGCGAGGGGCTTGGCCATGCGTCGGCGTCGGCTGTGATGGGGAGCCCGGAGCGGCGAGGCGGCTGGCAGTAGCGGCGGCGGCGGCAGCTCGGAGCAGACACGAGAGCCGGCGCTCCTCCCGGCAGGCTGCGCTGTGAGCCGGGCTGCGGATTGGGATCTCGCGCCCCCGTCCCTCGCTTCCCGCTGCTGTTCTCCTCCTCCCGGCTCCTCTCCTCCGCCTGCGAACCCCCGGCGGCGGCGGCGCGGCGGCGGCGGGGTCCCGAGCGCCCAGCGCCTCTGCTCGCGGCCCCAGTCCCAGTGAGCGCGCGGCGAGCACTGCGGCGGCGGCAGCCTGGTGACCGGCTCGCCCTGAGGAGAGCTCCCGGTGAGGAAGAACACGGGGGAAGCGTCTGCTGGAGCCTTGGATCGCCGGCCGAGGCAAGGGTGCGTGGGGATTTTTAGCTGATTATTTGGCTGCCTGGTGCACCGGCTGGAGCGCGCCTTCTGGAGCACGGCCCCAGCCGCCGGGAGCAAATGGGCTGCGAGGTGGGCTCGGGGAGGCGAGAGCCGGCGGAGCGCGTGAGGGAAACTTTTCACCTTGTAAAGTTGCTGCCTGGGCGCAGCCTGGAGCCGTGGTCGCCGCGGCTGCAAGCCGGAGGACAGAGAGGCTCGGCCCTGCGGCGGGAGCCGGGAGGTTTACGCGGAGAGTTGGCCAAGTTTGGGGCTGAGGGTTTGGGGCGGGGTGTGAGGGGGTTTGCAGAGCGGTGCTCTCATCCCCGGGTCCTGGCCGCCCGCTGCAGGTGGATGAGGAGGTCCAGGCGGCGAGCCTGCTGGGTAACCGGTGCTTGTCGGACGCACTGGGGATGTTCAGATGCCAATAGATGCACTTAGGGGACCGGAGATGCAAGTTGAGTTGTCGCTAGGAGAGGCGCCGCACAGAGCGGGGAGCCCAGCCTCCACTTTCGCCAGCAAGGGGAAAGGGTTACCAGACAGTCTGAGGGTCCTCTCCCCACGCCTGACTCCAGCTTGCGCGGGTTGTGGGGATGGCTTTGGCTCTTCCGGAGTGGTCGGGAGGGAGAGACCGTTCCTGGTGTCTTGACAGGGAGAGGGGCACAGAATGCTTTGCGAGAGTGCATGGGTTTTGGCGCGCGTGCGGGAGGGCTGCTTGTCTTTGAAAAGAAAGCAGCTTGGGTCAGACGGTCCTGGGGGTGCGGAGCAGCCGGCTCCGTGTTGGGGGCGGGAACGCCGGGCGCACCAGCCCCGCGCTCAGGCCCCCGTCTCGGGCGGTGCAGGGTGGACTCCCTCTTCCGAGCCAGTGTATACACGCTGGCGGGGGTGAGGGGCCGAGGGGCTGAGGGCCGCGGGCAGGGAGGCAGCGGAGGTGGCCTGGAGCGTCCTGGCGCGGCGCGCGGTGAGCGCGAGGATTCCGCCAGTGGGAGTCGCTGAGCTAAAGTGCATCTGGCCCTCCGGCTTGCGCGAGGTGGCGAGCCCGGGTATTTTTAGCAGGGCTGCGGTCTGAATTCCCTCCTCTCCTGTCTCGCCGACTTTTGTCGCGTGTGCTTTCCGAGACGGTTAAACATTGACCACGCTTAGGCTCGTGGAAGGCAACTTTTATTCACTTTTTGCATCCCCGCTCCCGTGGGCGGGGGTACGCTTGGGGCGAGGAAGCGGGGGTGGCCGGAGTGTGCGAGCTGAGGGAGCCGCCTGGGGTGAGAGGAGAGGGGGCGCTCCCGCTGTGTGGGTGTGCTGCCCGTGGCACCCTGAGGCTGCCGCTCCACATAATAATGGGCGCAAACCGGGCAGTGGAGAAGGGGTCCGGGAATAGATGGAGAGGCGGGGAGGCTGCGGAGACCTGGCGAGGAGGCCCTGAGGGACTAGGAGAGGCTCCCGGGAAGAAGAGGCGCCTGCAGCCCGGAACGTGGGCGGTTGGCGGCTCTGGCCGACTCCTAACGCCTTAGCCCCCAACCCTGTTTCGCCGCAGCCGCCGCGCGCCCTGTGGGACTCCGCTTCGGGTTTGGGCGAACCTGCGGCAGCCGCGGCGGGAGAGACTCGGGGACCGCGCTAATGATTGAAGTCCTTTCTCCACCTCTCCCCTGCTCCCGCTCCTCTCCGCCCCCAGACTCCGGCGCGTTTGTCTTCCAAGTTGGATCCCACTTCCATTTACAAGTGTCAGACAAACCCGCGCGAACCTCCCCCACCGTCCCCGGCCCCGGCCGCAGCCAGACTGGGGGAGGGCGCGCGGGGGGAGGGGGCGAGCTGTCTCGGCAGCCTACGGCCGCGACGCTCCCACCGGGGGCTCGGCCGGCCTGGGTTCCTATTTGTGGGGCCTTGATGTTTAAAAGAGGCACGTAAACAAACAAGAAAACCCAAACCACTCCTGGCCACTTGGATTCCGCCGCTATTCTCCTCCTCGCCCCGGACATATTAATTTTCTGGCCCCGAAGCTTCTCTTTTCAAAGGCGAGCCGGGCGCTGGGAGGAAGGGGGCGGGGGAGCTGGCCCACCAGTTCATCACGCTGGATTTGCGCTCCTGGCTTTGTTGCTAGGATTAGATTCCCTGATTGCGCCCGGGCAGAGATGAAATAAAAGCGGAGAGACACGGAACCGGCCAGAAGCACCGCAGACGACTTTGCCCTGATCCAGGCGGCAAATTCAGGTGGTGGGAAGAGGAAGCCCGCCATCTAGGAATTGAGGACCGAGGTGCTCACAGCTCAGTATTGATCAAAGAGAGCCCAGATTGCTTCTCCACCGGCAGGCAGGCACTGAACTTCACAGTTTGTGGAACACTGCGTGATGTTCTAGTGTGACGTGGAGATTTGAATCTGAGAAGGAAAGGAAAGGCGGGGATGGAGGAGAGAGGAGGAGGGAGAAGTGATTGAGAGATTGAGATTCTGCAGAATCCTAGAAATGCACAGAGCCAACTGCTTTTGCTTTCTTTTTTCTGTCTTTTAGTGCTTATTCCTAAATTGGAGCAGTTGAACAGTGAGGATAAAGAACAGCCAAGAAAACCAGGGCGCCAGGAAACAAAGACAGAAAAATGCATAATAACTTTAGCGCTTTGATGTGCTTTTTATCTAATAGGCTTGGGAGTGGGGGAAGGGTTTTTAAAAATCATTGTGCAAGGAGAAAAGTTGTCTCTCAGAATTATACCGAATGCTCATATTCAATCATGAATGTCTTTTTGGAACTTGGACAATGAGTGATGGGGGGGCCAGTTCCTATGCACAATGCCCTGGGATGAGAAAGTTCCCAGAACTGTCCAGTTGTAACGTCTTCATATCTGAACCACACAGAGAACTCCACGTGAAAGGCAGCTGGCTCAGAGATCAGAAATCGGTCAGCTGCTGGGCTGGTTCCATCTCTTGTTCCTGCAGGATTTTCACAGCCAGTGTTTGTTGACCAGTGACTGGTTATCAGACCTTTTCATTTTTTTTTTTTTCTTTCTTTCAAATCTTATTTATTCTGGTTCCTGGAAGAGTCATTTTGGGGATTTCTTAATAGCCAAGACCCAGTCTGTCAGTTAACTAGCAATTACAGTTGTGCTGAGCTACTCAGAAATGAAATGAGTAGCAATAAACAGAGTGGATGCCCAGTGACCTGTATGCTATATGGTTATTTTGCTAGCCCACAGCTTTTTGTGAAGCAGCAGCTCTTCAGGCGGCTCACATAAGAATATTTTGATGTGTCAGGTTATGTTATCATCCCTGCCTTCTTCATAGGATGCAGAATGACCTGCACTAATCTGGCTGATGAATTATGTCAAATAGAAAGAAGTATACAATTACCAGTGAGGAGAGGGTCTTTAGTCATTACCAGCTGGTCTGAGGAGTGCTCCACATAGATGTTGTGTAGTTATGCTATATTAATAGCTCACAGAGCAAAATGGACCATTGTGGCCTTATTTCACCAATGGTGGCCTTGGGTATTGTGTTCCTTCATAGCCCACATTTGCCCAATTTATTGGTGGATGGGCTTTTCCCTCTGGGGCAAGAGGGAAAAGGATAATATTGTGGATATTTGGTTTCTTCCATTATGGGTCATACCCAGGTTTTCTCTTTTGCAGGAGCCTTGAGTAGGGATCATCTGGTGGGATCAGATGGGCCAATCCATTCAAATTGATTTCCTTTGGTTGCTGGGGAAAGGCTATTGATGAACCATTGTTTTTGCTGATTGTAGCAAACATCAGAGTTGGAATGAAAATGTAAAAGAAAGGGATCTGACAGACCTAGAGTGAAGGACTTGTGTCCTGCCTAATTCCTTCCTGTAGGTAAGACAGTGTCTATTTCCACAGATACATATATAGTCTTAAAAATATTAAAGGAAGAAGCACAATCCTTGTGTATGTAGTCTTGCTTATTGGTAAAATTTTCTGCCATACTTTTTTGATATCTGATTGTTGAATATGTCATTATTGGCATCTTTCTACCCAAGATGAGGGTTGGGCCTGTGTTTTATAGCCTGACCTTTTGAAGATCAGCACAGTGTGATAACTTCATCTGGGAAGACTCTGAAACTAAATATCTTTGTTTTGGTCAATTTAATTGTACAGGCATCTCAAACTTAGTGAGTTTTCTGTCAATTTCGGAGTATCTACTCCTTTAATAAATGTTTTTCTTACTTTTTTTTACATTGTTTCCCTTTCTCCAAATTTCTTTCCCCCAATTTTTTTTTTTAAAGGAAAGCTTGCCTTTCCTTTACAAAGAAATTCAGTTCATGCCACAGACTGAATTTATTGAGAATATATTTGACACTTGTCTAGTGGCTTCAAGCCAGTTTCTGGTCTACCAAAATAGGCTATCAGTTACATGTAACTGTGACAAATGACCCATTCTAGCAGTTCTGAATTGGAATGACATTCCAAGGTTAGTCTTAATTTCTTAGCCTATTTTAGGATTGGATTTTTTTCTTTCCTATTAAGTGGAAGGGATGAAAATTTGAGAATGGATTTACTGGCATGATGGTGGTCTTCACTGGATAGATATATATATTCATGGGAGTCCCCAGAGGAGGTCTGGGGAGGGTGGCAGGACTATCCTTCCTTGGACTGTGCAATATGAGGGTGTTGCCTTGCCTGGGCAGAAAAGTCATATAGGTGACCCTGGGAGGAGGGGTCCTTGAGCAGACTTTATTATTTCGCCTTTCTGAGCTTTCCGGGTTCCAAGACTGTGAATCATAGACTCTATCTAATAAAGGAAATTCGTTTAATTAACTCTTGCCTTATTTTGCCTTGTCCTAAATGTATTTCGTTGTTTTTATTCTGTAAAGACTAATGGAATTTAAGATAATTTATTTTTTCTTTCTTTTAAAAATGCCTCTTTTCTATTTTACTCTGTTTATCTTTTAAAGAATTCATTTGTTTTAAATTTCTTTTCAGTGATATTTACTGAATCTACCTATCTTTTACAAGGCAGTAGGCAAGATTCAAAGAATAATAAAATATATTCA